ATTTATTTTTATTTTTTTGTATTTTCCTCCTCTCCTATACGGCGATACACGATTCGCACAGCTTGGAAAACGTGAAAGTTGGACTACAATTCCCAGTATCCCTCTAAGATAACTCCCAGCTCCTCCTCAAAGCCAACACTGGTTTAAAAATTTAAATTTCCCAAGTGATGGAAGCAGTTGCATAGGTAGAGAGGCAATGTGGTTTTCCACAACCCCCCCATCACTCACAATACTTTTTAAAAAAAGGTTTATTTAGAATATTGACAAACTAATGCAAAACACAAAGTATAGCAATGAGTTTTGCAGGAAGGAAGAGGAGAAAGAGGGAAGTATTTATTTATTATTTATTTATTCGATTTATACCCCACCCCCCTAGACAGCATCTACTCGGGGCGGCTTACAAAATCATAAAATCATTAAATAACAATAAAAACATCATATGGCTCCATTTTAAAATACTGTATATTAAATAATCACCGTCATCTTAGAACAGAACTGTAAAGGGATCTTATGTGTAGTGGGGACCACTGAGCTATCTATGTAGAGTTTAAGCCTTTCTATGTTACTACAGTATCTGCTTTACAGTTATGAAGTTGGTACTCATGGTGCAGAATGTGGGAAAAAAAAGCGAATTTAGCCCTATTCAAAAAACGTTAAGTGATCGCATTAGCGATCCGAAAAAACGGATCGCTATGCGATTTCATCGTTATGCGGTGCGCTCGTTAAGCGAGGCACCACTGTATCTGCTTTACAATTATGAAGTTGGTACTCATGGTGCACAATGTGGGAAAAGTGGCTTTGTCAAGAGAAAGTGGTGTGCAGTATCCCCCCCCTCCACTGTCTCTCCATTTCTCATAATACTTGACTTCATAATATATGAGTAAACTTGTGAATGACTGCATAAAGTTACACAGGGTTGATTTAGGACAGACAACACGGAGGAACTGCTTTATGTAGTGTGAGACTATGAAACTCATTGCCACAAGATGCAGTTGAAAACATTCTAAGGAGTCCTATGGCACCTTCAACACTAACAAACTGATGATAGCCTGAGCTTTTTATGGACTAAACCCATTTGCTTCAGGCCTTTTATTAACATATTATATATTTCTCCCATTTCTCTACTCCGAAGCAACTATTAATTACCCATAATGCAAAGGTCTAGTTAGCCTAACTTTAGAAGTTTAGAATTAGTTCTCAAGAAAATATATGCTTTGGAAACATTATGTCTAAAAAAACATGAATAACCTTGCTGAAAGACCAGAATTGTGAAAGAACATCAGGGATGTAGCAAAACCACCTAAAGATAAGAACTGGGTCAGCATTAGCAATAAAAGATACCTGGCTGCATTTACAATATACTTTTGTATTCTCAGAACGGCTGAGGCCCAAGGACATTGTTTGATGCTGTATTAGAGCAACATCAACTGTTTCCTTTCCTTCCTTTCTTTCCAATAACCTTCTTACCTATATCTGCAAATTACTTGCATGTGTGGGTTTTCTCCCACTATTTTTCTCTTTTTCAGGTCCTTGCCAGAGGAGCAAAGAACCTTGACATTAAAATATATTTTTTCCATTTACAACACTTTCATGAAGTTGGCTGGATGTTGTTTTCCGGGGGGCTGGGTGAGAATCTAGTTGGGACCAGTTATATTAATATATTCTGCTCTCATAGCACGCGCCATTACAACTCCCAGCAGCTTTGGGTCCCTTTTTGGGGGTGGGCGATGAGGGAGAAAGGTGTGACAAAAATAAATAAATAAGTTTGTCTTGCTGCGTTCAATAAAGCAATATACTGATTTAATATACTGGGACTCTGGGGAAGTGTTATGCAGAATCAAGGCATCCACTGATAATGGTATTCTAACATAATCCAAACAGTTTCTTTCTGTGTATATTGGAATTTGATTTGGGGTGAAGCAAGCACCAACACCCTTCTCCAAAACTGTTTTTTAAAAAATTTACATGTGTACCTACAAATTTTGTTGTTGTTTAGTCATGTCCGACTCTTCATGACTCCATGGACCAGAGCACGCCAAACCCTCCTGTCTTCCACTGCCTCCCGGAGTAGTCCTCTGTCATCTCCTTTTCCTCTTGCCTTCACACTTTCCCAACATCAGGGTCTTTTTCAGGGAGTCTTCTCTTCTCATGAGATGGTCAAAGTATTGGAGCCTCAGCTTCAGGATCTGTCCTTCCAGTGAGCACTCAGGGTTGATTTCCTTCAGAACGGATAGGTTTGTTCTCTTTGCAGTCCAGGGGACTCTCAAGATCATCCTCCAGCACCACAATTCAAAAGTATCAATTTTTCGGCGGTCAGCCTTCTTTATGGTCCAGCTCTCACTTCCATACATCACTACTGGAAAAACCATAGCTTTGACTATGTGGACCAACCTACAAATACAGCATATACTATATAAACACCATTAGTGTGTTTCCCTGGCTGACTTACGGCCCTGGAGATTTCAGTATCAAACTGAGTCACCAGTGATGTCTGGACCCTCTAATTATATTAAATGGGGATGAAAGGCAGTTTAATTCAAACACAGTTTAATTTAAAAAAACTGGATCAATGAAATATGTGGTGATCCCCAAAGAAGTCTGATGCAAAACCAACTTCAAATAAGACTATCACAGACTTATACACTGTGGTGCTTCCTCAAGTTTGGATGCCAGGTGGACACAGGTCATTGAGAGATGCTCCATGGAATGCTTCACAAATGATTTTGTATAGAAAAAAAACACTGGTTCCTAATGCAGCTCTACGGCTGGAGGTTGGATTCCTGAAAGTTGAAACAAAGATTCGGCTAACCATCTTTAGCTTATGGCTGAAATTAATTTTTCTTCCCAAGAGGTTTGACCTCTCTAGTACTACAGGAGAATTATCAGTCAAGTTGGAAGGAAAGACTACTAGCTGAGCTTAGATTTTATAGATTTTCAGATGGCAATATCATATATTTGGGGATTAGATTAGGCATCCTTCAATCTCGAGAGACTATGGTAACATGCTCTGAATAGAGGACTTGGAACAGCATCTAGTGTGGCTGAGGCCAATTCGAGAGTGACAGTCCCTTCCACACTGAAGACAAATACAATCTGTCCCCTCTCTAGCTCCCTGATTTTGCTGATTTTGGGACTGCCTCTTTGCCTCAGCCTGCTGGACAAGGGTCTCTTCAAATTGGGAGAGGCCATGCTGCACCACCTGCCTCCAGGCTGAACGCTTAGATGTCAAGGTTTTCCATCTGTTGAGGTCCTTTCCTAAGGCCTTCAGATCCTGTTTGCGGATATCCTTTTATCGCAGCTGTGGTCTCCCTCTGGGGCGATTTCTCTGCACTAATTCTCCATACAGATCTTTTGGAATGGTATTACATTTGACAAATCGATTAGACTTTAAACAGACATATATTATTTAATTAAAATAGTACAGTGGTGCCCCGCTTGACGACAATAATCTGTTCCATTAAAATTGCTGTTAAGCGATATTGCTGTCAAGCAAAAGAAAAAAACCATTGAAATGCATTGAAAAACGGTTCAGTGCGTTCCAATGGGTGAAATACCTCATCGTCCAGCGAAGATCCTCCATAGGGGAAGCCATTTTCGGTCCCTGTCTTCCGGAAATAGGTCCGGAAAACAGTGGGCAGCCATTTTGAAACCTGACAATCAGCTGTTTTTGATCATCGTAATGTGAAGAATCGGTTCCCGGAGCAGGGAACCGATTGTCATAAAACGGATTTTCCCCATTCAATCATCATTTTGCGATCGCAAAAGCCTCATCGTGAAGCAATTTCATTGTGGAGCGGGGTAATCGTCAAGCAGGGCACCTCTGTATTAGGTAATAAAACATGTCACTTCCTCTTCTTGTAGGTCAATTCACAGACCTATATATATTCAAAATCAAAGTGTTCCAGCCACTATAAATAAAATGTTTAATACAATATTGTACCAACTGTGTGACCCTGTATAATCACTTGCCAGGGAAAATGAGTTGATAGGGGCAGCTGTACTCATGTCCTGCTTAGGGGGGCGGGGTGGGGGGCTTCCTACTGTCTTGGCTACGGTAGTGGGCAAATGGTTGAACCAGGTAAACCTTTGCTCTAATCCAGCAAAATCTCTCTTCTTATATTCTTCTGTGCCTGATAACAGATTGACCGAATTGCTATCTACCAAGAAGTCCCATGGGTCTGAAAGATAACAACTTAAATGGGAAACCAGAAGTATGTCCTTGGAGATTACCATTAGCTGAGAAACCATATCTTCCCACAGCAGATATCTGGGAAAACACAGGGGAAGGACTACGTGCAGTTTTCCTCTCCTACATGTAGACTTTTGGTCTAGATGGGCGGGATAGAAATCCAATTAATTAATTAATTAAATGGCTCAGAAGCACCTCTCTGGATGTAACATTGGAAGCAGGATGCAGTTATCTCTGGACCTTGACTGGATCCGCAAAACCTCTTTCTTCCAAGGGGCTGTTTTTACAGATGTTCTCCCTAAAGCAATTCACAGACACTGGCCAGAATCCTATTGGTGCTTGTGGTAAAGGTTGTGTGACTTGCCACGGCTAATTGCAGCTAACTGATAAAGCGCCAAAGAGCACTTTGGTTGCTTGCTTTATCACATGCCCAACTGTAATGGAGGTTTCTCTCCTGTGCATTTTCGATAAATCACAAGGTCTAACATGCAAGCAAAGCTCTTTCCACACACCTGGCATTTGAATTACAGTATCTCCATCTTGAATGGACATGGTGGCTCACAAGGCCAGGAGGATATTAAGCAAAATATATTCCACATTAGGGGCATGTTTATTTATATATGTACTGCTTTTAGCTTTAAATATTGACTTTTAATACGCTTCCTTGGGTCCTTCTTAAGGAGAAAAAAGGGGTAGAACTATTTTAAATAAATAAAGATGTAATAAATATCCCCACACTATGGAGATATGAATCTTTTCTCTCCTTTGTGAGCACTCCGATGGCTCAGAAGCTCTGGCTTGTGCCAGAAACACTTCCCACACTCCTGGCATTTATATGGTTTCTCTCCTGTTTGGACTCTCTGGTGGCTCATAAAGTTTGAATATTGAGTAAAGCATTTTCTACACTCCTGGCATTTGCATGGTTTCTCCCCTTTATGGATTCTCTGGTGGAGCACAAGCTGTGAACTGTGAGCAAAACATTTCACACACTTTGGGCATTTATATGGTTTCTTCCCTGTATGGACTCTCTTGTGAATCACAAGGTTTGAATTTTCAGCAAAACCTTTCCCACAGTTTTGACATTTGTATGGTCTTTGTCCTATGTGGATTCTCTGGTGCCTCATAAGGTGTGCATTGCATATATAACACTTGTTACGCTCTTGGCATTTGTAGCGTGCATGGAAATGGCTTCCCTCTTGTATGGGACTTCAAGTGTACAATCAAAATTATTGAATAAAATGAATAAGTGAAAAAAATAAACATCTGTTCCCACTTATACTTCAGTAAATGGAAATAAATGAGTCCAGACAACGTTGGCTTGCTAATTTTCCAAACTTTATTCTTCCACAGGGTCTCTAAGCACAAAAATCCAGAAGTTATTGAACACATTTAACTTTTAGAGAAGTCAAAAGTATGAGTCCTCTAAGTATCATTTTTACAGTTATCAGCAAAGGTATAGATACATAAGTTTAAAAATACAGGAAGGCTGTATTCACGTTCTAAACAAATTCTTAAGTTGGAGAAATACAAGGTTTTAGCTTAAAAAGTTACAATAAGAACATCTATCTTATTTCAATCCAAAAATAAAAGTGTGGAGCCTTAAAATCACATATTGTCTAAAAGTTAAATACATTCCTTAGCCTTTTAGCATATTGGAATACACACATGGAAAAACATTAAGTTTTCTAAGTGTTCACCCAGCCATCTGCCAGTTAAAATTGAAGGAGGAAAATCTGATTTTTGTACTGCTCTTTCCAGCTGCTGCTGTTTTCTTTTTTCTCCCCTTGGCTTCTCAGCTCATTGCCTCATGGCTCAGCTAAATTTGCTCACTGACTGGTATCTTAACCGCTGGCACCTTCCTTACATTACATTCACCCTTTTATAGGCATGGGTGTTTCTTATTTATCTTTTCATGTTTACATTACTCTGCTATGATAGTAGATCTCTAGGTTAGAAGAGTCAATGGAAAATCTCACAGGCTCTGGAGAGCATAGCAGGCTTTCTCTTGATATAAGGAAATGTACTCAGTCTCTCATGTGCATTTCCAGCTAGGCTAACAGAGCCAGTGCAAAATTCCACAGACTCTGCCTTGGTGACAAACACCATTCATTCATTTAACACTGCTTGTTGTCAGAGAAGTAAACCCCATAGAGATTGAATGAGTCTCCACTACTCAAGTAGAGTTACAGTGGTGCCTCGCATTACGACGTTAATTCGTTCCAGCGAAATCGCTGTAAAATGAAAACGTAAGGCGATTTTTAAAAGCCCTAGAAACGCATAAAAACCTGATTAATACGTTCCTAGAGGCTTGAAACTCACTGTCAAGCGAAGATCCTCCATAGCGCGGCCATTTTCGCTGCCTGTGCAGCGAGGAATCCGTGCCAGAAAAGAGTGGGTGGCCATTTTGTTTACCCGACGGCCATTTTGAAACAGCCGATCAGCTGGCCGAAAATCATTGCTTTGCGATGATCAGTTCCCGAAGGAGGGAACTGATCATCAAAAGCGAAATTCCCCCATAGGGAACATCGTTTTGTGATCGCTTTTGCGATGGCAAAAACATCGCCGTCTAGCGATTTCGTCATCAAAAGGAGCGCCCGTTAAGCGAGGCACCACTGTACGTGAAAATAAGTATGTTTAACAATTGCTCTGCAGTGACCTCTAATTGACATTCAGTACATTACAACTTAAATCACTACGAGACATCACTTCCCCCTGAGAAGGAATGCGCAAGTGAATCTTCATTACAACTTAAATCACTACGAGACATCACTCCCCCCCTCCGAGAAGGAATGTGCAACTGAATCTTCGTCTCTGCGCCCTGCTGAATGTAATTAAGTTGTTAAATGCCTTTCTCCTAAATGTGAATAAATCTGCTTAAAATCCTTTGAGAGAAGTTCAAGCAGAGACAGAAGTGCTTTCTAAACTGTAAAAGCCTCCTGGGTTATCTGAAGAACATACTTTCGTGTTCACTCAGAAGGACGCTAGTGAAAGCTGAACAGCTGATGAACTGTTAAAGATTATTTTGCTTTTCTGTGTTATGAATCTATCACTCTGCTTATGAGAAGGAAAAGAGTTCTAAGAGTTCTAAGAGCTGGAAAACTCCTTGCTGGACACTGGAGGTTAAACCATCAGACTGTACAGTAGTCTCAAACGCCTTAGGCTTAGACGAATAGAAAGAGAATCCCCCGCTCCTAAAGAGGTCCAAGAATCTGCTGGAAAGGAGGAGGAGGGGCTACTTCTCTGAGGAGTTTTGTAGAAGCAAGCATGGAAAAACACATGGCTGATTTAACAACTTGTGTGAAAGATTTGGCCAAAGATGTACCAAACCAGATAGATAGAAAAATTGGAACAAGTGCTTTCTAAAATGTACTTTGCAATGAAGGAATGTCAGCAGATGGGAAAGGACATGAAACCGGTCCAGGGGGAAATACAGGGGATGAAGGCAAGCAAAGTAAAAACTGAGGACAGAGTAAAACGAATGGAAGATCTAACAAAACAGAATGAAGGGAAAGCAAAGGCACAACAACAGAAAATGGACAACAGAAGATCTCACCTTTGAGAACCACTAGTTCGTCACTCAGTCAGCTATTTCTGTGGATTTGCTGATGAGTTATGCTGTCCGAGCCAAGCTCTCTCCAGGGTCAGTCCGTGTCCACTATTTATTTTCTTCTTTCAGTGGATTCATTCTTGATCAGTATTTTGAAAGTATTTTTCAACCACCAATCAAGCCCATGACTTCTCTCCTTTGTGGGTTTTACTTTTGTGTGTTATGAGGGTGGTCTTCCAGATGAAGCTTTCCTCAACTCACAACATTTTTACTTGTTTCTTACTCTCTGTGGACTTTATAATGTAGTGTAAGTGCTGAACTTGTAGTAAAGCTTTTCCCACAATCCAGGCATTTAAAGGGTTTTTCACCCATGTGGGATCGCTGATGAACTACAAGCTGGTATTTGATCCGGAAACTTTTCCCACATTCAAAGCACAGGTAGGGTTTCTCTCCTGTGTGGATTCTGAGGTGAGACTGGAGATCTCGCTTTGCACAGAAATTTTTCCCACACTCTGAGCATTTATATGGATTCTCA